AGCCCTGCAAGATGCATTTATGGGCTCTTCTCGGTAAGCACATGAAAAAGCAACTGCAGCAACCCAGGACGATGGGACATGGGATCCAACCTCTTTGGAGGCTGCAGGCCGAATTGGGTGGCTCCGAATTCAAAACCCGCCGTTTGTCATTGGCCTCTGTTGCGGGATTCCTTCAGAAATAGCCGAATGTTTTTGTCCCTGCGTTTCAAGAAACACACACCGTTCCAGGAACGGCACTGATTTCCGTTGCGTGTGTTGTTGTTGTTGTGGTAAAAGTGACACAGGTTCCACCCAGATCTCAGCTCTTGAGGGGTGGTTAAAAAAGGAAAAATAGCAGAGGGGGGAGAAGGAAAACGCCAACTTTTGGCGCCAAGATTTCAAAGTACGCGGAAGGGGTTGGCTGGAGAGGGGAACTGGCAGAGGGGAGGGGGGTCTGGCTATCCCCCTCCCCAAATCCTTGTGGGAAAGTTACCTTCCACCCCTGTTTACTTACCTTTCCACACAGGTAGACTATGCTGGAATCGGGGTCGTAAAAGGGCAGGAGAACGCCGTTGCTGGTGTCCATCTCCTGCAGGGCGATGGGCTCCTCAAAGTTCTTCTGCAAAGGCAGGAAAAGAGTCAGGACCCCCCCCCCACCGGGACACTCCAAGACCCATGTGCACGCAGCTGGGGGGAGGACCCAGGCTGACCACCCCACCTCCAGCCCATCCCCCTAATTCCAACCCCTGGATTCGTCTAAGACGATGGTGTCAGTTTTAACCCAAACCCTCCCGAAGGGCCACATCCCGAGTAATGGAACCGAGGGATTCCCCAGAGGACATCTAGTCTGACCTCTCCCTAATCCCCCTCCTCTTCGCCTTATGCATTCTAACCGCCTCTCCCCCCCACAGCCGAGCTGCAGTGCCCCGTGGGCTACACACTAGAGGTCTCCAACCGTGGCCCTTTGAAGACCCGTGGACTTCAACTCCCAGAGTTCCAAGGCCAGCCAGGGGAATTCTGGGAGTTGAAGTCCACAGGTCTGAAAGTAGCAAAGGGTGAAGACCCCCTTGGCTGCACAGACTAGATCAGGGATCTTCCAATTTTGCCCTTTTGTGACTTGTGGACTTCAACTCCCAGAATTCCTCAGCCGGGCACACGTGCCCGGCTAAGGAATTCTGGGAGTTGAAGTCCACAAGTCATCAAAGGGCCACGTTTGAGTGCCTGGCTGAGGAATTCTGGGAGTTGAAGTCCACAAGTCAGAAAAGGGCCAAGTTGGAAGACCCCTGCTTGCGGACCTCAACTCCCAGAATTCCTCAGCCAGCATGCCCGGCTTAGGAATTCTGGGAGTTGAAGTCCACAAGTCATAAAAGGACCAAGTTTGAGTGCCTGGCTGAGGAATTCTGGGAGTTGAAGTCCACAAGTCAGAAAAGGGCCAAGTTGGAAGACCCCTGCTTGTGGACTTCAACTCCCAGAATTCCTCAGCCAGCGTGCCCGGCTGAGGAATTCTGGGAGTTGAAGTCCACAAGTCACAAAAGGGCCAAGTTGGAAGACCCCTGCTTGTGGCCTTCAACTCCCAGAATTCCTCAGCCAGCGTGCCTGGCTGAGGAATTCTGGGAGTTGAAGTGCCCAGCTGAGGAATTCTGGGAGTTGAAGTCCACAAGTCATAAAAGGGCCAAGTTTGAAGACCCCTGTCTTAAAGCATCCTGGCTAAGGAATTCTGGGAGTTGAAGTCCACAAGTCACAAAAGGGCCAAGTTGGAAGACCCCTGGACTACATAGTCCATTCCTAGCCCCCCCAACTATTTTAAAATGCCCCTGTCCTCTTTTTTGCAGCCCCCTACCCAGGAACACAGCACACCCCCATGCATCCTTCCATCCTCCCCTGCCCCACAATTCCACAGCAATCGGACTCTGGGAACCGGGCATTGTCCAGGGATGGACCGAGCAGTCAGAACTGGACATCAAATCAACTTGAAGTCCAAGCCTTGGTGACTTCTTCAACTTCCCAGTTAAGCTTTTTGGCACTGGGATCACCTGGTGGCCTCCCATCCAAATGTTAACTGCTGAAGCCTGTGGAGTCAAGGTGGGCGAGGTGGTGCCCTCTGGTGGGCAATCAGAATCCTACAGTCGTTAAGTGAATCCGGCATCCTCCCCCATGGCCTCTGCTTGTCAGAAGGTTGCAAAAGGGGGTCACGTGACCCCCGGGGGACATGGCGACCGTCGTAAATACGTGTCAGTTGCCAAGCTTGTCTGAATTTTGATCACGTGACCCTGGGGATGCTGCGACGGTCGTTAAGTGTGAAAAAACGTGACGTCGCTTTTTTCAGTGCCGTTGCAACTTTGAACGGTCACTAAATGAAGCGTCGTAAGACGAGGACTACCTGTCCTTATTTTAATTTACTGAACTCAATTTGATGCTCGGTTTCAATATCTTTGCAGGGCTGACTTTCGTGAGTGTGGGGGATTATGCATGTGTGTGCGTGTGCGTGTGTGTGTATAAATTTGATGATCAGTTTCAGGAGCCTTTGCAGCACTGACTTCTATGTGTGAGTGTGTAAATTTGTGTGTATGTAAATCTGTTTTAGCACTTTTTCAGCACTGACTTCCATGGGGATCTCTGTACGTGTGTGTATTGTGTAAATTTGTCTGTGTGTATAAATTTAGGACTCAGTTTCCGGACCTTTGCAGTACTGACTTTCATGGGGATCTGTTCGTGTCTGTGTGCTTGTGTGTGTAAATTCGATGCTCAGTGTACAATCTTTGTAGCATAGACTTCCGTGGGCATCTGTTGGTGTCTGTGTGTGTGTGTGTTGTGTTAATCTTGTCCGGGTGTAAAAATTTATGCCTCAGGATCTTTGTAGCACTGACTTTCACGGGGATCTGTCTGTGCGCTTGTGTGTGTGCGTGTAAATTCGATGCTCGGTCTCAGGATCTTCGTGGAACAGACTTGCGTGGGGTTCTGTTGGTGTGTGCCTGTGTGTAAATTTGTGTGTAAGTTTCATGCTCAGTCTCATGATCTTTGAAGCACAGACTTCCATGGGGATCTGATGCGTGTCTGTGTGTAAAATTGTGTGCAAATTCGATGCTCCGTCTACGATCTTCGTAGCACAGACTTCCATGGGGATCTGTTTGTGCGTGTCTGTGTGTAAATTTGTGTGTAAGTTGCAGTCTCACGATCTTTGCAGCAGACTTCCACGAGGATCTGTTTGTGTGTCTTTGTGTGTCTGTGTGTAAATTTGTGTGTAAGTTGGATGCTCAGTCTCACGATCTTTGTAGCGCAGACTTCCTTGGGGATCTGTTTGTGTGTGTCTGTGTGTAAATTTGTGTGTAAGTTGCAGTCTCACGATCTTTGCAGCAGACTTCCACGAGGATCTGTTTCTGTGTCTTTGTGTGTCTGTGTGTAAATTTGTGTGTAAGTTGGATGCTCAGTCTCACGATCTTTGTAGCGCAGACTTCCATGGGGATCTGTTTGTGTGTCACTGTGTGTAAATTTGATGGTCAGTCCCAGGATCTTTGCAGTACTGGCTTTCATGGCGTGTGCATGTACGTGCACATGTGTTCTGGACTTGGTGCATGTGGGAACGCCCACCCTGGCTCCTGCTTGTGGGCATCCATCCTCCTGCGACGTCCCCTGGCCTGCCCCCCAG